TTTGCATTTGTCCTACTAAATGTCATCCTATTGACTTCAGACCATTTCTCCAGTTTGTCCAGAGGATTTTGCATTTTAATCCTGTCCTCCAAAGCACTCGCAACCCCTCCCAGCTCGGTATCGTCCGCACACTATCAGTGGACTCTCTCTGCCACTATCTAAGTCACTGATGAAGATATTGAACAGAACCGGACCCAGAACCGATCCCTGCAGGACCCCACTCGTGATGCCCTTCCAGCCGCACTGTGACCCACTGATCACTACTCTCTGGGAACGGTTTTCCAACCAGTTCTGCACCTTATAGTAGCTCCATCGAGGTTGTATTTCCCTAGTTTGTTTAGGAGAAGGTCACGCGAGACAGTATCAAAAGCCTCACTAAAGTCCAGATCTACCACGTCTCCCGCTTCCCCCTACGCACGAGGCTTGTGACGCTGTCACAGAAAGCTCTCAGGCTGGTCTGACACGACAAACCCACACTGACCGTTACTGATCACCTCGTTATCTTCTAGGGGTTTGCAAATCGATTGCTTCTTTGCTCCGTTATCTTGCCGGGAAGTGCAGCCGACTGGTCTGTGATTCCCCGGATTGTCCTTTCTCCGAGTTAGAGCCGTATTTGCCCTTTCCCAGGCCCCTGGAGTCTCTTCCGGCCCCCCCAATGTCTCGGGGACCCCTTCAGCCAGCGCCGGCCGGGCCGCAGGAAATCAAACTTCTCCAAGTCATTCGTGACTTGTTCTTTTCCTGTCGTAGCCTCAGCTCCGAACACAGTAACCGGATCTCGGGGCGGTGAAAACGGAAACAAAAATGGCCTTTTACCCCCAGCCGGTCGCTTTTCTCTTCATCCCTTGTCGTTTGCCTGGTTCCCGCTTCTTGTGGGGCTCCTTCTCTGCGCCTTGGGGGGCTGCAGGTCTCCGGGGCAGGCCGGGGGGGGGGTCTCACTTCCCCCGGGATCTCGCCAGCTAGTTCCCGGCGTTCGCTGACGTCCCGTCGCGAGGTCTGTGCTCCGTACAGTCACAGCAGAGGAGGATTTCCTTGTAGCTAAAGGGGCTGGAGGTGTTGGGGTTTGGGGGGGGGGGAGCTGGGGTTTGAGGGTGTCCCTGACGGTGCCTGGAAGCCCCCCGGGACTGTCCCCCAATGTGACGACCCCCCCCCC